TCGCGCATAACTTGAAACACCTGCTTCAAGTGTCTAAGGTGTACCTCCGTAATGCTGAGCTTTTTCTCACCGCAGCTGTGAACGAAAATGTCGTCAAAGTAGCTCGGTGCAAAGTCGCGAAGTGGGCGAAGTACTTGTGTCACCATCCGATTGAACGTAGCTGGAGCGTTCTTTAGACCTTGTGGCATGACTAACCACTCCCAAAGCATCCCGCTTGGGGTGCTGACCGCAGTGAACGGAATGTCACTGTCCCTCATGAGGATCTGATCGAGACCGTCTGTCAGATCTATGGCGCTGTAGATCTCGCTCCCCGACATGGTATTCATACCATGTCTTTTCGAGGGAAAGTCGTTTGAGCCGGGATCGTGGCGTCATTCAGCTTGTGCCGCGAAGTGTTCTTCGCGCTCTGATTTAGGCTCGGCGCTCTTTGGGCGAGCCTCTATAACTTCTTTACTGGCTGCTTCGGTGGCTGAAACGATGCACACTAGCTCGATGTCGCCGGCCTTGAGGTCGTGAAAAAAACCCTTTATGAAAGGACTGACAGAGATGTGATATCTGCAGCAGTGCACGGTGGGCTCGCTACCTCAATGTAGCGGCCACGATGTGGGGATCCCTCCACATATTCAAGCGCGCATACGGATTCCGTCACTAGGAAATTATCTGCATCAGCTTTTTGACGTGAATTTCGTCGTCTCGGTAATCGGCGTCCTCCTTTCTTGCGTTTTCTTTTGCACCTCGAGCCCCTGCTCGAGACTAGCACGTCGCTATCAAGAGGATGATGTACCCCCCTATAGATGTGGGAGCTCTGTCTCCACCACGTCGGTCTCATGCGGATCCATATTCCGCCCATTCTCGTCAATAAGAGGCGGGAGATCATCGTCGACCGCCTCACTTGTTTGCGGGAGCCCCTGTCCGACCGCCTCGATATTGATCGGGATCCTATGCTCGTCCGATGTGCTTGTATGCGGGAGCCCCTGCTCGACCGCCTCGAAATTGATCGGGAGCCTTGCTCGTCCGATGTGCTTGTATGCGGGAGCCCCTGCTCGACCGCCTCGTTGGGAATCGGTAACCCCTGTTCGACCGATGTCTGAGTGTGCGGGAACCGCTGTTCGACCGCCTCGTTGTGAATCGGGAACCCCTGTTCTACAAATGTCTGTGTATGCGGGAACCGCTGTTCAACCGCCTCGTTATGTGGCTCCATCCGTGTAACGGAACATACTGCGCACAGAGGGCCATCGCTCTCTCTGTGTTGACTACTAGTCGTGAACAAGTTTTTTAACACGACCCTGACGTGAGGCCAATCGGGTGGCACGACCAAAAAATGAGTGGACACTTCACTGACGTCACAAGCGCTTCGTCGTTTGACGGAACGAGATAGCCAATCTATCTTCGGCTGATACCGTGGCTGTCACGGTATCAGCCGAAGACAGATTGGCATGAATTATGCAATCAAATGCATAATTAATCTCGTCCACTAAAAATTCGTCATTACTCCGGATACCGTCAAAAGTATACTGTTTTACGCGTGGCACCTTTTGGTTGTCCATCGGCAAGTTTGACAACAATGTCACCTGGACCTTCTCGAACCGTGACAGTCGACGGGAGAAGGGACAAACAGGATGCACGAAAGAAGTTGTTGGAAGAGCCAGAATCCAACAACGCTCGTAGTGGTCTCTTCATTCCAGCAACGATTAGACTGATAATAATCAGTCTCGAATCATCGTGCATGGTGGTCGCATTGAAGTGAGTATGGATCACTTGGGTATGGGAGCCCGAGCTGCCACCTGAGTACTCGGGGCTCCATTTCTGCAAGTAGGGCACCCCGCACCTACTGGAACCGCTCTTTTTTTGGTGAAAACAACGACGACAAAGCGTCTTCTCGTGAGACAGCTGTGTTCACAGTCACCGGCGCAAGTGCTCGACATACAGCCGCACCATGGCCTGTCTTGCCACAACAAAAACACTTTACCGTGTTAGGATTGCGAGTGTCGCGGCCTAATGATTTGCCGCGACAACGAGAAGACTCAATTGCATCAAGTTCCATTGGCTCTGGGCCAGGCGTCCGGGGATGTTATGTACCTGCGTGCAGGTACGATAACGCGACAGTGTAAAATTCAAAAATTCCGAGGGGAAATGCCTCATCGAGGGACTTTGTCTCATCACGGGGTGTGAGGCAGCAACGTGTCATGCCCATCTTCATACCGATAATAAAGACATGAACTTGTGAGGCCATGTCAATTGGCTGCGTGAAAATGCACGAAGCAAGATGACGTGTCTTCTGCACGTAGTCACGCATCGACAACTTGCCCTGTCTGAGTTAGAAGAAGGCTACACACAAGCGAGATTCATCTTGAGGAGCCTCGAAAGCCAGTAGTAAGTCACGCTGGATATCGTCCAGCGTAGGGAACGTCGACTCGTCTACGACGTGTTTCCCGAGAGCCCATTTCTTGGCTTTACCAACAAGCCGAGACAGCAGGTAATTGACCTTCGCCGTCGGAGCGTCAATTAATCTTGACGTTATGACGCGCCCTTGGCTGGCAGAGGGGCTATCGGCTTCGGGAGCTTACTAGAGAGGCTTCTGGAGATGTAGGTAAAAATGAGGACGACTTTGATTAAACAACCATAAGTCCTATCGTGCTTTACCTAACGTGCTGTTATAACCTGTCTACTGTGGCATGTCACACACTCCCAACTAGTTCATGTCATAAACTGTCTGTCATACAAACTGGCATGTCATACGCCCCCCCCATGAAGCACTAGGCTTAGCACGAAAAGATGCGTTGAATACTAACTCTTTCAGTTGACGCACCTTTGGCGAATGTGATGTTCCGTTGTTGTGAACAGTACGGATCGAATATGGTCCCTGCGAAACTGCATGTAGTTTGGCTCAAAAGTGTTTGGGAACACGGAGCATGATGTGATCGCCGGGGTTGTAGAAGTGTTCCAATCGCTTGCTGTTTTCACAAGTATTGGCTGCTAGGATCGTTTCGAAAAGTCACTTGGATAGATAGCTCCAACTAGCTTTGTATAGTCGACGTGATATCATGTCTTGTCTGAAAAGCAGTTGGCCTGGCGATGCATTCAGAGCGCTGTGGTAAATAGCACGCACAGCAAAAGCAGCGTTTTGGATTGCTTTTTTCAGTCAAAATCCTCATAGCAGCAAATAATGTTCAGGATCTCTAGATGAACCCGCTCACATATAGCGTTTGCTTGAGGGTTTTTCGCTGAGATCGTGTTCACCTCGATACCATAGCTGTGTAAAAGTCCCTGAAAATATGTCCCAGTAAATTCGGTACCTTGATCGTGGATGACTTTTCGTGGTCGATGGCAACGACATAGCCACTCTCGATCGAAACTTTCTGCCGTTGCGAGCGCCAACTTGTTTGCTAGGACACCCACTTCCAGCCACCTTGTTCCCTGATCAATTATGATTATTCCGTAGTATCCGTCGTCGTATGGACCAATGAGATTAACATGAATCACATCAAATGGGTCAACGGTTAGCATAGTCTTTGGTGGTAGTAGACCATAGTCTTGTTTGCCACCATGCACTTTTGCACGCTTGCACATCAATCATGTCTTAATTAAGTTTACAATGGTTGCTTCCATGCTAAGCCAATATACAACTTGGCGCTATCGTTGTACAGCCGTTCACTAGCTGGATGTCCTAGGCTCGCGTCTCAAAATCCACCTCGCGAAACCAGCGGTTTAGGTGGGGACGATTCGGACCATCGACGGAGTATGTTAACGTCTTCATCTTGATAGCGTCATGGCGCGAAGTGCGCAAGAGGGTCAATACTCGCCGATTCGCTTCGGCGAGCTCGCGCACCATAAAGTCTTGTATGGCGGCACGTTGATCATCGGACGTCGCTGTGCTCAGCAGCGACGTCACGATAGATTCACCAGACACCGCCGCAAGGCGGTGTAGTGCCTGACCCTCCACCGAGGTGAGATATGGGAAGTCAGATGCTCGTAGACTCGTCCATGTTCATCTCGAATTTGGCCATTGGAAGGACTAGTAATCGCTACCAGGTGTAACGGAATAAGAACCCGTTACCGTCTTACACTAAAAGATCGTTGAGGAAGCGCTCTTAATGAACTCGTTAGCAAAACTCTGTTTTATTTTTGTTTTGTTTTAAATCGCAGTAAGTGCGAATATGTTCCCTAGCTCACGGGAACCACTCAATATGGAAGTCAATTTACAGTTGATACAACGACGCGCAGTATCCGCTAATCGGATACTGCCCTATGCCTACTTATGGTTTTTCTATAACTACTTATGTTATAGGTTACCCCATTACACTGATAAGTATTGAATAGGTGTACAGCTAAAATAAACCAAAAGATGATTGGTTAATGATTGGCGCATCCCAATGTGCGAGCTTATATATGTTAAGAGTCGCTTAATAACGTCCGTCCGGCCTAATCTCCGCTAGAGGTCATCCCCTTCATTCTGAATACAGTTGGTGTATATCACATACACGAGGGTGGGTCACATTAGTAGCCCAAGTGACAGATCTATAGTGCTCAGGTACTTTTGTAGACCTCCCCGTTATATGTTGCATGCTTCATGGCTACGTGTAACATATGGACATGTTTAGCCGTTTACATACCTGGCTATATACGAATTTTAACATTCAGACCTATCCAAATTCATGAATGCGACAGATCCTAGCTGGCCAACGAGAAGCTGAGAGGCAGGGCTGGCTGTATCATGGGGAAAGGCGGAGCGAAAGCTGAGAGATGGGAGGGGTTGGGGATAGTTGACTTGTGTCTGACAGTCTCAGTTTACAATAATATCGGACACACGAAAGTCTCGTCGATATTCCTCTCGCTCTCAATTCACGTATCTGTGAACTCGATCGACACTGTTGAGAGCATTTTGAATTGTCCTTGTAATGTAGCGCTCGAAGGACGGCAAAAGCACAAAAGTATACGACGGAAGCAGAGTTGAACCCCCTCTCGATGACGAAGAGGTGCTTATCACGAAGCAACAGACAATGAAAGAAGAGCAGCTGCTTGTGAATCATGAAGATGAATCGTTGGGGTATGCAAGCTCCTCACCGCAACTAGTGCAAAACCCTGTTGTGGCCTGGGCAGTTAGAGGCCTCGGCTTGTTGCTCTTTTTCGTAGTGGTTCTAGTGGTCCAAGGAAGCCCTTTGCAGGCTCCACGCGTGACCCGCCTAGCGACCGAGGCAACCACGTGGGTAGAGATGCTACCAACTGACGTTGTCAGTCATATGGATAGAAATGTGGATCCGTGTGACGACTTGTACACGTTTAGTTGCGGCTCATGGCTGAAAAATATGAAGATTCCGGAAGACGAGTCGAGTGTGTCCTTGATCATGGATAAGTTAAATGATGAGAATGAAAAGGTGTTGAAGCACGTGATGCAGCAAGGTTGGCCGCTCGTGGGCGAGTTGTACGACTCGTGTATGAGCTTTAACAACACGAGCAGTACGACGGCGGATGACGCGTCGTTAAAGGTCCTGTCGCCAGTTTTAGAGCAGATTGCTGCGACAAAGAACAAGAGAAAGCTGTTTCGATTGGCAGGAGTCTTGTTCAAAACAGGAACAAGCTTTGTGACAAGACTTAATATCGATGCGGATGCTCGAGAAACGACCGTGAACGCGTTGTATGTATCGCAAAATGGACTGTCACTGCCAGATTTACCGTATTATATGGACCGCAAGAAGTTTGACTCCATCAGTGACGCATTCCATGCGTACGTGGTGAAGTTGTTTATGTTAGCTGGATGGGGGTCGCGTGCAGCAGCATCGCAAGCTTCTACAGTGATTGGCTTTGAACAAATGCTTGCACCGCTTTTCGTACCGATTGATGATCCTGTCGCAACGTACAATCGCATGAGCGTGGCCCAAGCTGCTGATAGATATCCGTTGGTTTTCTCCGAGTTTTTAAAGGGTGCAGGGATACTTAGGAACCTCACAGATCAGAACGCTGACGTGATCGTGCAAACGCCAGAATTTTTTAAGCATGTTGAACAGCTCGTGACTGGAGATTCTGTGACTTTGGAGACCCTGAAAGCTGTACTGATGTACCAGTTCATCAGCGCCAAGGCAGAATACCTTAGCGAGCCTTTCATTCAGGCGAAATTCTCCTTTTTTGATCGAATTATCAGCGGTCAGAAAAAGCGTTCCCCGCGTTGGAAGGTGTGCCTTCACCATGTTACTGAAAGCTTTCCTGATTTAGTGGGCAAGCATTTTGCGCACCTTCGGTTCGACAAAACTAGTAGGCAACTTGCCAGCAAACTTGTGGCGCAAGTTCAAGCTTCGATGCAGAATAACCTCAAGCAGATGGATTGGCTGGATGGGCCTACTCGGCAAGCCGCTGTTGATAAGCTAGACAAGATGACTAATCTTATTGGGTATTCGACTGTCTCCGAGCACTTTCCGTACAAACTACGTGGCGACGCACTACTTGCAGACAATATGCGAATCATCGTGGAGCATCTGTTTTATCGATCTGTAGAACAGATCGGTGGTTCAGTGAACCGCAACGAATGGATAGAGACGGGTGCTGAAGCGGGCGCGTACTATAACCCGCAAATGAACCAGATCGTACTCCCTGCTGGCATCCTACAGTCGCCATTTTTCGCTTCGGAACATCACCCTGCACGCAACTTTGCTTCTACTGGTCATACCATCGGTCACGAACTCATTCATGGCTTTGATGCCTCCGGAAGATATTACGATGGTGACGGCAGCTTGCAGAACTGGTGGAGCAACGACACAGCAAACAAGTTTTTACAGCGGGCTGATTGTCTCGTGAAGCAATACAATAGTTTTGCAGCGACGAGTGATGCAGATCAGGATAAGGTGCTTGGTTACGTCGACGGGAGCTTCACCTTAAATGAGAATATCGCCGACAATGGCGGCCTCAAGTTGTCGTTTAACGCATATCAAACATACATGAACAAGCAGGCCCGAGAGCTGAGCAAGGTGAGTGAAGCCGAAGTGACAAAGCTGACTAGTTCAATGAGCCAAGTCTTACCTGCTGATGTAGCCGACAAACTTTTCTTCATCTCGTTCGCTCAGAGTTTTTGCGATAAGACAAGCGACGCCATGACGATACAACGCCTAGTCGCAGACTCGCACTCGCCCGCGCGGTTGCGCATTAACGGAGCTGCAAGGAATTCGCGCGACTTTGCACGCGTGTTCTCGTGTCCCACTAGCTCGCCCATGAACCCGAAGACAAAGTGTCAGCTATGGTAGAATAGTATCTGTATTTGTTCTGTAGCTGCTATTTGCTTTAGACGGAAACAGAGCTAAGCTGCTTATCAAAAAGCTTGGTCTTTGCTTTAGCGTCGTTATCGTTAACAGCTTCTCCACCAAGCCCAAAGCAGCCCTCCTCTACGTTTCGAATGAGGCCACAGTCATACGAACGCAAATTGCCCCGACGTGGGAAACGATATCGATTCGCATTAAGCAACTCGTTTGTAGTGCGATTGCGAGCGGTAGAACACACAAGTTGGGCAATTGAGAGTAAAATCGACAGCAGGAAAATCATGCCTACGACTGCGTAGACGCGCAGGTTGTGATAGTAACGCCATAGTAGATGCAAAATCTACTAGGTCAACGGCCACGACACGAGTCCGTTAAGTATATGATACGTAACGGGAAGGTCTAAATAGGTATGTGGTACCTTAGACTTCCCATATGGGTAAGGCATATCTGTAAAGGGGTTACACGACGGTTGTAACATCATACCAAAAGTTTACGGTTGAAGTTTGCTTTATGTATGTATGTGAACGCTTTACGCGAGCCGTCTTGCCACCAAAGTGGCTCAGCTTCCGCATGCGTCGGGTTATCTCTCTCTCTCTACAATTCTCTCTCTCTCTCGGCCAGGGTCCATCAAGCGGCGTGTGCGCTACAAGCGCCTCGGTCAAGTCCTTCCAGGCTGCACGATCCTGTGCACAAAGGCGAAGGAGGTACAGGTCTGGGGCGCGTTGAAGGTGATGTCCTGCGGAAAGTGTCTGAAGGTCGGCATCGAGGACCATCGGTAGCGTTAGGCGGCGTCTGCCTCTCCATTAACCGGTCTCGCTGGGGTTGAAGAAGGCTTCCATGAATAGGTATGCTGGAATGCCTGCAGGTCTGCGGAGGATGTGGCCCAAAAGGCTCCATCGACTGCGAAGCAAGTACAATCGAGGTGGCTGCGTCTTCGTACGGTCGTAGAGCTTCTCATTCGAAATCGTGGCTGGATAACGGACTCCGATCACTTTGCGGAGCTGTTGACGATGGAAACTCTCGAGGCTACGTAGTACGGAATCGGTGAGGGCCCAAGTCCCGCAGTTGTAAAGCAGGATCGGCAAGACGTAGCAGTTGTAGAGGCGCAGGCGCGTAGCTTCCGAGGTCTTCGATGGACGGAGCCAAAATTTCCACATGCGGTGTAGTGCAGCAGTCGCTAAATTCTTGCGACGGGAGACGTCTTCGGCGTCTCCGAGGAGAGAACCTAATTTACGCGTAATTCGCCAATCCTCATCCTTAGCACGAGTAATCCGGTTAGACAGCGCGGTTGTGCTGCGGTGTACGATGGTGTGTTCGGTCTTGGACGTGTTCATCTGGAGTGACCATTTGGCTATAACGGCAGGGGCTTCAGTCTCGATCAGGGTAGCTATGTCAGCGCTCTGAAAAATGAAGTCGGCGTCGTCGGCGTACACGATCATGTCAGCGAGAAGATCGTGGGGAACGTCGAGCTGGCCGGCTAGGTCTCGTAAAGCTGCTTCGAGGTAAACGACAAAAAGAACGGGGGAAAGTGAGTCACTTTGGGGAGTACCTGTATTGCTCTCGAACGGGGAGAACAGGCGACTGCCGAGTCGAAGTGAGAGCATTGTTCTCGTAGTAAAACCCGGATCAGTCGAATTTCGTCGTCATCGAGAAGTGGCGTTCTTTGTATCTCTGAGCGCGTGCTGCTATCCACCTGTGAGCCCACACTGCATCGGCAGTGCTGCGACAGGGTCTGAACCCGCTTTGGTGCGGGGACAAATATTGCTCGACCTTGGGGGAGATGCGGCGTAGCACCACCAAAGAGATCGCCGTACGGATGCTGTTGAGTAAGACGATGGGTCGAACTGCTGGCACATTGGCCAGCCGGCTTGTTTGGATTGGGGAGTCCGAGAAGAATCCCGTCGCCCAAGTGGATATTGTCTCCGGTGGCGAGTCCGTGGTTGATGATGTCAGCGAGTGGTTGAGCTAGTAGCTCTGATCCATATTTGAGTAGCTCTGCAGGAATGGATTCCGGGCCCGTTGCGCGTCCATTGCGTAAGCGGCGGAACGCGCATTGAGTTCAAAGGCGGTGATCGGATTGTTCAGGGGTCGTTTGACGCCGTCGTCGGCGACGGGCGTGCGCGTGCGGTCGAAGACCTGAACCTGGAAGCGTTGCTTGATCTGGATACCTGCTTCTTGGCGGCTGAGTATATATTTACCTGTAGAGTCATGTAACGAGAGTGATGGCAAGCGCCGTCGGAAAAGGGCTCGCGTGGCTTCAAACATGTGAGTCGAGCGGTTCGACTGTTCAATGATAGCGAGTTTCTCGTCGATGAAAGCCCCAGCAAGAGCTTTGCTGCGTTCTCGAATTCGATGCAGAAGTCGGTTGCGTTTGGTTCGTAGAGCATTGACGTCTTGCGTGTGGTCGTTGTAGATGAGCTGCCGAAGTTAACGTTGTTCGTACGAGAGGCGAGAAAGCTCGGGATCCACCTCTTTGCCATGCTTGACAAGCGGCATGTAGCCAACAGAGTCCGCCGCGTCCTCAAGCGCAGAGTGAAGAGTGCTCGTACATCGTTGATTCGTAGTTGTTCCTCTTTGCGGTAAGTCGGCGAGGTACATTTCGAGATATTCGCGGTACATGGTGCGGTACGTGCTGTCACGGACAAGAAGATGTGTTGCCAGGCGCGTTTCAGCTTCGCTATCACGCGCTCGTTCCTGACGTCGGCGTAGTCCGCGTAAGGCGCGGAGGTCGAAGTCGAGCGTGACGAGCTTGTGGTCGGACGGTGTGAGAGTACCCCCCAGGATTGCGCGTTACTGCATAATGTCTTCGTCCGTTGGCTGCAGATGATGTAGTCGATTTGGTTGAAGATGCAGTGGTCCTTGAGTCGTAGTGTCCATGTCGTGATGTTGCGCGCACGTTTCCTAAATGCTGTGTTAGTAATAAACAAGTCGTTAGCGTCACAGAAAGAAGCGAGGATGTGGCCATTGCGGTTTCGTCGGCCACGGCCCCAATGTCCAAGAAACGATTCATTGTCGCGGCGTTGACCGATTTTGGCATTAAAGTCTCCGAGGATAATCGTCGTGTCGCGTTGAGGGAGCTTCGATAGCGCTGTGTTCAGGTCCGCGTAAAAGCCGTCGATTTCTGTAACAGGATACCCACTATGGGGCGCGTATGCGTTCACGATGTTCACTCGCTGGGCTTTGGGAAGACGTAGTTGAAGAATCCCAACTCGGTCGGACTGGGCCCAGTATTTGTAAAGAAACTTGCGTAGATGGGGGGCAACTGCAAAACCAATTCCGTGCCAACGGTTGGAGCATGGAAGAGTAAGAAGATGATACGTACCGGCCTTTTTGTTCACTTTGAAAGGAAATACGAGTCTCTTGAATCCCCAGGATGTCAATCTTGTACGTCGACCGATCTCTGGGAAGGGTCTCATATTGCTTGCGCTGGGAACCAATGGATTGAACATTAAACGTACCTAATCGGAGATGTCGAGGCTTCGGGCGCGGCTGCGTGCGTCGTGGCGGCGGCTGGCGGCTGGGGGTGAGAGAGGTTAGAGAGAGGTGAGTAGAGGAAGAACCCGTCAAAGACTGAAGGATGCCGCGAAGCACCCGTCGGAAGACCTGAGCTAGCATCATGCTGGCCCAAACTTCCCGGGAAGGCGTCACCCCAACCCGATCAAAATGAAGTTTGCTTTATTGCATATAATGTATTCTTGAAACTTCTCTCTAGAGAGGTATTACGTATGAGCGTTAAGATACGGTATTCGGTAATACCGTATCCTATTCGATTAGGATTCGATAATCGATATCGCTGTACTAAGTACATGATACACAGATGTTTGAACGACATATCGTTCAATAACGAAGTCTGCATACATATAATCATTACTGTTATAGTAATTAATCTAGTGTAGGGTACTTAAAGTAGGATTTATTCATAGAATCTTAAGTCTTGAATTTGCTACTACCTATGACTGCGCAAAGCTGAATAAGCTTCTGTGTGTCGTAAGTAAAGCTCTTTTCTAGAAGCTCGTTGCGCGCTTCGCGTAGGCGACCGGTAGCGGTAGGTACAGCTCTTCGGCGCCTTCCAGCACCATTACCACCGCGCATGGAGGTTTGACGATTTAATCGCTTCCTCGCGCGCTTAAAGGTTTGTGCCAAAGTAGCACGTGGAAGCTTCATAGAGTGCCCATATACACGTCCCCTCTAGCTCAATGGAGTGCGCAGACGTTAAAATGCCCGGCGTCAGTTGTGCACTCACCCGACGCTCCGTTTTCTATCGCCAACAGCTCGCCGAAGAGTCCGGCGCGCCCAATTAATTACAGCAGTTATTTTTCAGCGTCAATCTATCACCCAGTTTGTGTGAGATGCACTAGAGTCATCCCGAACAAACGGGTAGTAGATCGACGTCAAAAAAAGAATAGGGGACGCCGGGTGTTTATATCTACAAAAGGATTACGGAACTCAGCAGAGGCTAATCTAGGCGCGAACAACCCGCTTCATTGAAGTCAAGATGATTAAAAATGTTTATACGCTGGCAATTCTTACTGCACTACGACTACACACGACATTCTACGTTGGGCAATTGAAGACATTCTTCAGCCAGATTATTTCGCGGCTTAAAAGTATCCTCCTCCAATGTATACATCAGCCTGCGAACCTTATAATGTTTCGCGGCGCGCAGAGACTTACGATCCTCGTGATCGACAATACTATCGACAATCCAACATCGCGCACCTGATGCGTCAACCAGGGGAGGAGGAGCATCACAGCGGAAGTTTCCGTTAATGTATGGCAACACGCATGATCGCACGCCTCGTCCGCCGACCGACAAACTGCGCTTTCTTCGTGTCGAGGCTTAAAGGCGAATAAAGGCTGCTCGATGCTCGTGAGATGACCGAGAACATTGGCGGTAGCGCGTAGGGAGGCTGCTCAGAGGAATTGACAAGAACAACATTACTCTACGACGAAAAAGCTGCCTTATTACTGCGCAAAACGTCGGTTCATACGCATCCGACTCTGGATGGACTGCCGTAGACATAAGCAATGACGGCCTACATTTAATCCCAGAAAGCCGAACCGAGAATTACGGTCAGAAACAACGGACCTTAATAAGCCTTGATTTCGAAATATGAGATCGATGACGACATTCGCAGTCGTATTCGCCGTCAGATGCGCGGATACAGGAGCAAACTTTGCATAATCGATTAACAAGAGCTATTACGCCCGTGTGTTTGTATTTGTTAGGTAGAAGGCCGAAGATAAAACCATGTTGGCTGATTGCCAAGTGTCAGTAACAAT